TCCAAATGTCTTTTAAATGTTGTAACTGTACCTACATCCACCATTTCCTCTGGCAGTTCACTCCACACACGGGTCACTCTAAAAATGTTGCCCTTCAGGTCCTTTTCAAAACTTTATCCTCTCACCTTAAAAATATGCCCCCTAGTTTTGAACTCCCCCACCCGAGGGTAACAACTTTTGCTGTTCACCTTATCTATGCCCCTCATGGTTTTATGAACTCCTATAAAGGTCACCCCTCAAAATCTCCTACAGACGGGACGGAAGCTAGGGTGGTTGCATGCTCCTCATGTAGGATGTGGGAGGTAAGGGTCACCACTAGTGTCCGTGCTGACTTCACCTGCGAGAAGTGCACCCAATTCCAGCTCCTCTCAGACTGCATTAGGGAACCAGAGCTGGAGCTTGATGAACTCTGGATCATTCGGCGAGGCTGACAGGGTGATAGAGAGGAGTTATAGGGAAATAGTCACACCCAAGTTACAGGATAAAGGTAGCTGGGTGACCGCCAGAAGAGGGAAAGGGAATAGGCAGACAGTGCAGGGATCCCCTGTGGCCATTCCCCTCAAAAATAAGTATACTGCTTTGGATACTGTTGTGGGAGGACGACTTACCAGAGGAAAGCCACAGCGGCCAGGTCTCTGGCACTGAGTCTGGCTCTGTGGCTCAAAAGGGAATGGCGGAGAATAGGAGTGCGACAGTAGTAGGAGATTCAATGGTTGAGGGAACAGACAGGAGATTCTGTGGTCGCGAACGAGACTCCTGGATAGTATGTTGCCTCCCGGGTGCCAGGGTCGAGGATGACTCAGATTGAGTCTACAGGATTCTTAAAGGGGAGGGTGAGCAGCCAGAAGACGTGGTACACATCGGTACCAATGACATAGCTAGGAAAAGGGATGAGGTCCTGAAAAGTGAATACAGGGAGTAAGGTTGGAAGCTAAAAAATAGGATGAGCAGAGTAGTGAGGCCAGGAATAGAGAGAGAGTGCAGCTGAACATGTGGCTACAGAGCTGGTGTATGGCTTCAGATATTTGAATCATTGGGATATCTTCTGGGGAAGGTGGGACCTATACAGGAAGGACGGGTTGCACCTGAACTGGAGGGGCACCAATATCCTGGGCGGGAAGTTTGCTACAGCTCTTCAGGAGGGTTTAAACTAGTTTGGCAGGGGGATGGGAACTGGAGCTATGGATCAGAGGATGGGGTAGCTGGTGTACGGCAGATACAGCATGTAGAGAGTCTGTGCGGAAGGACAGACAGTTGAGAGAGCAAAGTTGCAGTCAGTGTGACGGGTTGAAGTATGTCTATCTTAACGTCAGAAGTGTCAGAAATAAGGGTGACGAACATAGAGCATGGATCAGTACTTGGAGCTACGATGTTGTGGCCATTAGGGAGACTTGGATATCACAGGGGCGGGAACGGTTGTTGGATGTTCCGGGGTTTAGATGTTTCAAAAGAAATAGGGAGGGAGGTAAAGGAGGTGGTGGAGTGGCATTGCTAATCAGGGATGGTACCACTGCTGCAGAAAGGGAGGTCGTGGAGGAGGGTTTGTCTACGGAGTTAGTATGGGTGGAAATCAGAAACAGGAAAGGGGCAGTCACTTTATTGGGAGTTTTCTTTCGACCCCCCAGTAGCAACAGAGACACTGAGGAACAGATTGGGAGGCAGATTTTGGAAATGTGCAGAAGTAACAGGGTTGTTGTCATGGGCGATTTCAACTTCCCTAATATAGACTGGAACCTCGTAAGTGCAAATAGTTTGGATGGAGCAGATTTTGTCAGGTGTGTCCAGGAAGGATTTCTGACTCAATATGTAGATAGGCCGACTAGAGGGGATGCCATTTTGGATTTGGTGTTTGGCAACGAACCAGGCCAGGTGTCAGATCTCTCGGTGGGAGAGCATTTCGGTGATAGTGATCACAACTCCCTGACCTTTACTATTGTCATGGAGAGGGATAGGAGTAGATGGTATGGGAAAGTATTTAATTGGGGGAGGGGGAATTATGCAGGAACTGCGAAGCATAAATTGGGAACAGATGTTCTCAGGGAAATGCATGACAGAAATGTGGAGGTTGTTTAGGGAGCAGTTGCTATGAATACTGGATAGGTTTGTCCCACTGAGGCAAAGAAAAGATGGTAAGGTGAAGAAACCTTGGATGACAAGACATGTGGAACTTGTAGTCAAGAGGAAGAAGGAAACTTACTTCAGGTCGAAAAGCAAGGATTGGACAGGGCTCCAGGAAGGAACTGAAGAATGGACTTAGGAGAGCTAGAAGGGGGCATGAAAAAGCCTTGGCAGGTAGGTTTAAGGAAAACCCCAAGGCATTCTACACTTATGTGAGGAACAAGAGGATAGCCAGAGTGAGGGGAGGGCCAATCAGGGATAGTGGAGGGAACATGTGCCCAGAGTTGGAGTTGGTAGGGGAGGTCTTTAAATGAATACTTTGCTTCAGTATTCACCAGTGAGAGGGACCTTGTAGTTTGTGAGGACAGCGTGAAACAGGCTGATGTGCTCAAACAGGTTGATGTTAAGAAGGAGGATGTGCTAGAAATTTTGAAAACATGAGGATAGATAAGTCCCCTGGCCAGATGGGATATACCCAAGGTAACTATGGGAAGCGAGGGAAGAGGTTGTTGCACCTTTGGCGATGATCTTTGCATCCTCACTGTCCACTGGAGTAGTACCAGATGATTGGAGGGTGGCAAATGTTATTTCCTTGTTCAATAAAGGGAATAGGGAGAATCATGGGAATTACAGACCAGTCAGTCGTATTTCTGTGGTGGGCAAATTATGGGAGAGGATTCTGAGATAGTATTGATGATTATTTAGAAAAGCACAGTTTGATTACAAATAGTCAGCATGGCTTTGAGAGGGGCAGGTCATGCCTCACAAGCCTTAATAAATTCTTTAAGGATGTGACAAAAGACACTGATGAAGGTAGAGCGGTGGATGTGGTGTATATGGATTTTTAACAAGGCATTTAATAAGGTTCCCCATGCTAGGTTCATTCAGAAAGTAAGGAGGCGTGGGATTCAGGGAAATTTGGCTGTCTGGATACAGAATTGGCTGTCCAATGGAAGACAGAGGGTGGCAGTAGACGGAAAGTATTGAGCCTGGAGCTTGGTGACCGGTGGTGTTCCAAAGGGATCTGTTCTGGGACCTCTGCTTTTTGTGATCTTTATAAATGACGTGGATGAGGAAGTGGAAGGGTGTGTTAGTAAGTTTGCTGATAACACAAAGGTTGGTAGAGTTGCGGATAGCGTGGAGGGCTGTTGTAGGCTGCAACAGGACATTGCCAGGATGCAGAACTGGACAAAGAAGTGGCAGATGGAATTCAACCTGGAAAAGTGTGAAGTGATTAATTTTTGAAAGTTGAATTTGAATGCAGAATACAGGATTAATGGCAGGATTCTTGGCAGTGTGGAGGAACAGAGGGATCTTGAGGTCCACGTCCATCGATCCCTCAAAGTTGCCACTCAAGTTGACAGGGTTGTTAAGAAAGTGTACGGTGTGTTGGCTTTCATTGGCAGGGAAATTGAGTTTAAGAGCCGAGAGGTTAAATTGCAACTCTGGTAGACCACACTTGGGATATTGTGTTCAGTTCTGGTCGCCTCATTATAGGAAGAATGTGGATGCTTTAGAGAGGGTGCAGAGGAGATTTACCAGGTTGTTGCCTGGACTGGAGGCCCGGTCTTATGAGGAAAGGTTGAGGAAAGCTAGGGCTTTTCTCATAGGAGCAAAGGAGGATGAGAGGGGACTTGATAGAGGTGTACAAGATGATGAGAGGCATAGATAGAGTGAATAGCCGGAGACTTTTTTCCCCAGGGCGGAACTGACTGTCACAAGGGGGCATAATTTTAAGGGAATTGGAAAAAGGTATGGGGAGATGTCAGAGGTAGGTTCTTCACACAGAGTGGTGGGTGCGTGGAATGCACTGCCAGCGATGGTAGTTGAGTCAGATACATTAGGGACATTTAAGCGACACTTGGATAGGCACATGGATGATAAAACAAAGAGTATGCAGCTTAATTTGATCTTAGAGGGGATAATAGGTTGGCACAACATCATGGGCCGAAGGGCCTGTACTGTGCTGTACTGTTCTATGTTTCTACAGGCGCCAGTGAAAAAAGTTCCAGCCAACCAATCCTATTTTTATATAACTCAAACCCTCCATTTCAGCAATGTCCTGGTAAATCTTTTCTGAACCCTCTTCAATTTAATATTATCCTTTCTATAACAGGGTGACCAGAACTGCACAAGTACTGCAGAAGGGGCCCCACCAACGGTCCGTACAACCTCAACACAACGTCAAACTTTTTTTTTTTAAAAACACAGTGGCTCATGTGTGAAATGAACTGCCAAAGGAAGAGTCATGTGGATAGTTTGAGTAAAGGCCATTGAAGTGTTCTGCTATGCTGCTGCATCCAGTCACGAACAGTGGTGGATAATTTAAACAACTCACTGGAGGCAGCTCTACAGACATCCTCAGTGTTACTAATGGGGGAGCCCAGCACGCCAAAGCAAAAGATAAGGCTGAAGCATTTGTGATAATCATGGATGATTCATCTCGGCCTCCTCAAGAGGACCCTTGCATCACAGATGCCATTCTTCAGCCGATTTGATTCACTCTATACAATATCAAGAAACAGCTGGAAGCTGTGGGCTATGGCAATGTTCTGGCACTAAGACCGACTTGCTGTGCTCAATGTGCCGTGCCACTAACCAAGCTGTTCCAGTACATCTACAACACTGGCATCTAGCCGACAAGAGTGGAAAATTGACCACGTATCTCCTGTACACAATAAGCAGGACAAATCCAACCTGACCGATTAGTGCCCCATCAGTCTACTCTTTATCATCAGTAAAGTGATGGAAGAGGTCATAAATATTGCTATCAAGCAGCACTTGATTAGCAATAATCTGCTCATTAATGGTCAGTTCAGGTTCCACCATGGCCACACAGCTCCTGACCTCAGTACAGCTTTGGTTGAAACAGTGACTGAAGGGCAGAATTCCAGAATTGGGCAGTTTTCCACAACAGCAAGGAGGTTACAGTGAAGATGTTAGTTAGGTCACAACTGAATTATTGCATACAGTTTTGGTTATACCACTATGGGAAGGATGTGATTGCTGCTACAACCCACTGTGTTAGCACACTGGGTATTGAGCCCAACTATTCCCAGCATTGTCACAGAACTTAGCCATTTCATAAAGTATGAAAAGTTTCCCAACTTACCTGACTTTCAGAGACTGATTATTAGAAAGCGAAGACCAAGTTTCTGGACTGAACAAGAATGATTACTTCTTTTAAGTAATTAGACTCAATGTATAGACTAACATTTATAACCTGTCGTCCTATAACATTACTAATTAAAACTCTAATCCCTTAATAAACTCTCCAAACAGATAGGGTTAAATAGACTATGGATAGAGAGGAGAAAATGGAAAGACAGTAGTTCAACGGTCTTTGTTCCCAGCTGCTGTTGTTGAGATGATCTTTATGACTCTTCTGCTGCTCAGCGCATTGCTTCAGTAGTCTTTCTCTGGATGCTTCTACTGGTTGGTAGGACGCAAAATGTTCTGACTTGTCAGTTAAAAGTCACAGCTTACAGCAACTGTTGCAGAAAGGATAAACTGAGTTCCTTAAGGATTACAGTGATTGCTGACTGCAGAGAACAGACAGAGGCTACAACTAAGCTGGGGGGAGAACTGAAAATTTCTCTTGCTCTAATATATTTCTTGTTCCAAACTGTTCAGTTACCCAAGAACCAACGCTTTTGCTAGAAAGTACAAAGGTCTCGGTCATTGGTTGGTGGGCTAGTGACCAGTTATCAATCAACTGTTTATTGGCAGTAAAAGCTGTGTTGTACATCCCCTCTGTTCCAAATTGTCTGTAACTCAACTCTTCAATTATTGTTTATTCAAACAGCTGTTTATACAATGGCTGGCATGGATGTCAGCTCATTTGGTTTTCAAAACTGTAGCACCCTTCATTTTTAGAATAGATCTCTCTCATTTCAGTGCACAATTTATTTAAAAATATAAAAACGTACAGTCCTTACAGTGCAGCAGAGGTGATTCACCAGGATGTTGCCTGGGCTGGAGTATTTCAGCTTTGAAGAGACACTTCTGGCTGCTTTCCTTACAGTAGAGAAGGAAAAGTGGGGGTGGGGCAGAACTTGGAGGTGTACAAAATTATGGGGGCCTATGGTAGAGAGGAAGAAATATTTCCCCTTAGATTAGAGATCACTAACTGGGAAACCTAGATTTAAGGTAAGGGCAGGAGGTTTAGAGGGTATCTGGAACGCACTGCCGAAAAAGGGCATTATGGTGATAACCATCACAACATTTTCATAGTATTTAGATGAACACGAAGTGTCATAGCAAACAAGTCTATGGGCCAAGTGCTGGAAAATGGTACTAGAATAGATAGTTGCTTGATGACTGGTGCAGACACAATGGTCTGAGGGGCATCTTCTCGTGCTGTAAAACCCTGACTCTACAAAACACAGGCCCAGTTTGCCCAATATCTCATCATAGGACAGGCCGGCTGTCATGGGAACAAGCCTGATGAACCTTTGCTGCGCTTCCCCAATGGCACTAATAACCCTCCTGAGATTAGGAGGCCAAAGCTGCGTACAGTATTCCAGGTGAGATCTAACCAGGCTTCTGTACAATCGAGGTAAGATTTCATTACGCTTGTACTCAAAACCTCTTGTAACAAAGGCTAACAATCCACTAGCCTTCCTAATAGTTTGCTGCAATACATTATATATAAAATAATTAGTACTCTATAATTGCTTACAATGTTACAACTTAGAAACAGGTCATTCTGGCCAAATAAAGCTTTAAGTTACTAAACAAACATGCACAAAATTTTACATGTGCAGCCCACATTGGGTTCAATTGGAGGCTTTTAATTAATTTAAAATTGAAAAATCTTAGGAAAATGTACAGCCTCTGTATCATTAAAATACCTCAACACATGGCATTCTTCCAGAAAAGTTAGCAGCAGTGTAACCATAAGTGAAGTTGGCGATGAGCTTTAGACCCAGCTGTCGAGCATGAAGCAGTTTTGTAAGGGCTTTGTCCTTCTTGTGGGCTTTCATCACATCTTTCACCATGATTCTGGTTTTCAGTATCTCTTCAAGCATGCTTGGTAACACACCTTTCCGCACAGATGGCTACAACAGCAATATCAACACAGGTTTATGAAAATGCTGAATCTAGAAAAGCATTTAAATCTTGCTTCACACCAAATGAGCAGGTCAACCTTTGTTTTGCAGTTTTCTTTCATTTGAATTAACCAGAGCCAAACTAATACAACGTATAAAATTTACAGCCAAGGTATAGACCATTCAATAAACAGGTCTGAGATGGTGTTTATACTCGTCTCCTCCCTCTTAATTTAATCCTCTGTATATTCTTCTATTCCTTTCTTCATGTGCTTATTGAGCTTCACTTAAATGCTATTTGCCTCAACGACTAGTGGTAATGCATTCCACATTCTAAATAGTGTGTGTAAATGAAGTTTCTGTAAGTTCCTTAGATTTAATAAAGACCCTTAAATTTTGGTCTCACACAAAAGCAGGGACACTTCTATGTCTGTCCGACCAAACCCTTCCTTATTTTGAAAAGGGCCTCAATCAAATCATACATTTATTCAGTTGGAGACACAAGAGACCCAAACTATCCGGTCTACACTGCGCTAATTAAAGTAATTAGCGCTGCCTGCACAGCTGCTGCTGTTTAGTAGTCTGTGGTACATTGCTGTTTCATGCCAGAGATAATTCATTTTCTTATAACAAAGTTCCTAAGGAAGATATGCAAGCAGGATCAATATTTTCTGCATATTTGCACCCTATCTTCTGCATATAAAATTGACATTTTCCTAGCTAACATCAGTTCTGAGGAAAGGTCACTCGATCCGAAACGTTACCTTTGACTTCTCTCTACAGATGCTGCCAGACCTGCTGAGCATTGAGCAATTTTGTGTTTTTATTTCGGATTTACAGCATCCACAGTTCTTTCTGTTTCAATCTATTTGTGGGTGGCATGGTGGCACATCAGTCAGCACTACTGCAACACAGTGCCAGGGACCCAGGTTCAATTCCAGGCTTGGGTGACGGACAGTGTGCAGTTTGCATGCTCTCCCCATGCCTGTGTGGGTTTTCACCAGGTGCTGCAGTTTCCTCTCTCAGTCCAAAGATGTAGAACTTAGGTGGATTGACCATACTAAATTGCCCCATAATGTCCAGGCTAGAAGGATTGGCCATGGTAAATGTGGGTTTATGGTAATAGGGTGGGATGCTTTTTGGAGGGTCAGTGCAGATTCAATGGGACGAGGTGCCTCTGTCTGGACTGTACTGATTCTATGATTCTATTTCTTCACAGATCTTTAAAAAGAGGAAAGACACACTCTTCACCTACACTTCTTGATATTTAAATATTATTGTGAAAGCTTTAGAAATAGAAGTTTGTAAAATAAAGTTTAGGATCAGCAATATACAAACCGGTGACATTCATGTTTTGAAACTGGGCTACTGATTGACCTTCTTAGCTGAAATCTATTCTCAGGCTTGGTTTGTCCCAGCAGTCTGCTTGATCAGATCCTCAAATATCCACTCCATACACCAAAACCACTCAGCAGCAGTAATGTGCATTACCAGAGAATGCACTGCAAAAATTCAAAGATCCTTATCCAAATCCACAACCACTTCTTTGTAGAAGGACAAGGGCAGCAGATACATGGGAACACCGCCATCGGCAAGATCCCCTCCAAGCCATTCATCATCCTGACTTGGAAATATATCGGTGTTCCTCCACTGTTACCGGGGTTGAAGTCCTGACATTCCCTCTCTACTGGCATTGTGGGTCAACCTACAGGATATGGACCACAGTGGTACAAGGCTGCAGCTCACCACTATCTTCATAAGGGCAACTAGGGACAGGTAATAAATGCTAGCCAACCAGCGATGCCCATGTCCTATGAGTAAATAAACAAAAAAGGTGATTTGGTTTCAGCTCACGGTAAAAAGTATCTACGTTGTCAACAGCACCTTGCAACCCAGGTATTCCAATCAATAATTCTAACAATAAAAATGCATTCAATATTCTTAGAATGACTTTACAACATATCTCAATTAGTTTTACCTTCAATACTATATATCGAGAAGACTTTAAGTCATACCTTAACAAAGGCCACTCCATTTGGTGATATAGTGATGTCATTCCAAAGCCGGTGAAGTAACTCTGGAGGCACTTTCTGCGAAATGCAGCCAAATTTAAATTCTTCGTCTCTGATAAAAGAAACAAGGAAAATTTTGTTTTTATTCGTGGTAAATAACATCAAAAGTTTCGCTCTTGCGCTGCCAGTGCACAACCACACTTTCTCCAGCGGACAGATCTGATACATGGGAGCCAAGAGAATAGCAAAGTCAAAATGAGAAAGTAATTGCATTTTCACTATCATCTTTCTCATATTAAGAGGCAGCAGTGAGAAATGACTTGCGGATGCAAACTAAACTCAGGTATTGAAACATTGCAGAATACTGGTGAATCGCACTAGATTGTACCACACCGAATTGGTCTTCCTCTCGGTTTTGAGCAATTGAGACTGTGGGCTGGGTAGTGACAGATAGCTCAGCAGAGCAGAAACATTTTCTCACTTACATTTACACCTCCATCATTTCTATACCACCATTATCACTACTTTTATCTTTTGCTCTGGGCATCCTCACCATCTGTTCCACTTGCTCCTCTTCCCCCCTCTGTCTAAAGCCTAAAAAAATTTCCAGCTCCTTTCGGTTCTGAAGAAGTTATATTGGACTCAAAACGTTGACTGTTCCTCTCCACAGATGCTGCCAGACCTGCTGTGCTTTTCCAGAATTTTGCTTTTATTATCGTGACAGATGATACTTTTGAGATAACTTCCAAATCCTCAAAATTCAAGTATTTCAGGCATGAAACTCAACTTTCCTTCCACTCTAGAAGAAACTACTGGCAGACATATTCATCAACAGACTGGTGCAAATATTTTAAAAATAATTTCGAGAATTTTCGTCATCGCAATGTTGAAAAAGCAGCAAACTGCGCAGGAATCGTGCTGTAAAGTTTTACTAATTTAAGATTAATTTCAAAGGGCTTAGGTGCCTCTCTCTAGCTGAACGTAGCTGCGCAACAGCTGATATATTAAAATTATGTTATTGTTGATTTTAAATCACATCTTAAAATCCTCACCTGGAGGGTATTTTAATTACAATGTATTTTGAGTTATATAGCTAATCTTCACTTTTTTACTATAAGGTGAACCAACTTCTGTTGCATTATGTAGGTTGTATCATCTATTTTCTTTTGAATTAAAGTAACAAACATAATATTGCAGTCTATGTCGGCAGAATGTGCGTCAGCAGCAAGCTTCCATAGATTCTGTTACTGCCCAATGTGGAACAAACTTCAAGGTACTCCAAAAAAAAAGAGAAACAGCTGTGGTTTAAACATCATCTTTTTTTCTGAACCACCTGAATCTAGTCACAGTTCTTTTCGATGCAAAATACAATCAGATAAGCAAAATGTCTTACTTTCCAAGGTAGTCAATATTACCCAGGCATGTAGAGTAGCAATAGTTGTAAGCTATAATAATAGAAGGGTACAGGGACTGAAAATCCAGAACCAGGACCGAGTTGCTATAGAAGCGAGATTCGGGCTCCATCACAAGAGGAATGCACTGAGGAGCTCTCATATGAGATCGCTGTTGGATACTGGGAGTTACAGCTATGTAGTTCATTGGCTTGGCAAAACGCAGCATCATCGACTCCACACGATACTGCAAAACAGGAATGCAACACAAAGAATTGCTCAACCAAAACAAAACTCTTTCAAGTTGTGTATAGTTTCTTTCTTGTTCTTTCTCACGAAGAAGTGTTGACTAACCAGACCTGACACCCTTTCAGAATGGTGATATTCTTTGAATGGCTGGGTTGCAAGTGCTGGCATATGTTAGACAAAGGAGAGCCAATGGACATTATCTACTTAGACTTCCAGAAGGCCTTTGGCAAAGTACCACACAGGAAGCTGCTGAGTAAGATAAGAGCCCATGGTGTTAGAGGCAAGGTACTAGCATGGATAGAAGATTGGCTGTCTTGGAGAAAGCAAGTGGGGACAAAAGGCTCCTTCTCAGGATGGCAGCCGGTGTTCCACAAGGGTCAGTGTTGGGATTTTCACTTTATACATTAATAATCTAGGTGAAGGAACTGAGGGCATTGTGGCTAAGTTTACAGATGATACAAAGATAGGCGGAGGGACAGGTAGTATTGAGGAGGCAGGAAGGCTGCAGAAGAATTTAGACAGGTTAGGAGAGTGAGCAAAGAAGTAGCAGATGGAGTACAATGTGGGAAAGCGTGAGGTCATGCGCTTTGGTAGGAAGAATAGAGGCATATTTTCTATTTCTAAATGGGGAGAAAATTCAGAACTCTGACGTGGAAAGGGACTAGGGAGTCCTAGTCCAGGATTCTCTTAAGGCAAACGTACAGGTTGAAGAGGATTTCACCTGATGATGGGGCAATGCTCCAAATGCTTGAGATTTCAAATAAACCTGTTGGACTATGACCTGGTGTCATGTGACTTCTGACTCAAGTACCTTTACACAGTCTTGACCCTAGCTCAAATCCACAATAGGCAATTTAGTACTAAGTTTGGAAGCAAGTTTACATAACAGTACATTAGTGAAGCCCCCTGAATGTGATGATTTTTATTTTGAGAATTTTGCACTGATACGAAGTGTATATTTCAAAGTTTAAAAATAATACTAATTCAGGGCAGATACAGCAGCTACAGCAGAATAAAACAGATATGAACATTTATCTTCCTCCAAAGCGAAACACGTTGACTCAGTCTGCTCAACCTGAGAAAGTCTGACGTGGATCAAGGTGAAACTATTTCCCAATGCCAAATTATGAGCAAGTTTTACCAGCAGCTCATATCTACTAAAAACTGGGTTTGAACAAAGAACAAAGCAGTACAGCACAGGAACAGGCTGTTCAACCCACCAAGCCTTCCAACACAGAATAGCTTTCTAAACTAAAAACCTTTCTACTCTCTGCAGTCCATATCCCTTTATTCCCTGACAACAAGGTGCAGAGCTGGATGAACACAGCAGGCCAAGCAGCATCATAGGAGCAGAAAGACTGACGTTTCGGGCCTAGACCCTTCATCAGAAATGGGGGAGGGGAAGGGGGTTCTGAAATAAATAGGGAGAGAGGGGGAGGCGGATAGAAGATGGATAGAGGAGAAGATAGGTGGAGAGGAGACAGACAGGTCAAAAAGGCGGGGATGGAGCCAGTAAAGGTGAGTGTAGGTGGGGAGTTAGGGAGGAGATAGGTCAGTCCAGGGAGGATGGACAGGTCAAGGGGGCGGGATGAGGTTAGTAGGTAGGAGATGGGGGTGAATGTAGATATTGTCACAGTTGGGGCCAAATTGGGAAGGCTTGAATGTGGATTGTAGGCCATTGGGGATGATCTGGTTCCGTAGGCAGGTACTAAGAAAGATGATGTGGCTGTAGTACCTGGTTTGCTTCAGGTCATGGTCGAGCAGTTTCAAGGCCGAAGAGATTACGAGAGAGTTGCAGTGGGGGAAGAGATCCCCTGAGGTTTGTCCAGAGGGAGGAGGGTAACTTCTTCAGGCTAGGCATCCTTAGAAGAGGCTTCGCAGTGGGGTTAAAATTGAATCAAAGATAGTGGGAACTGCAGATGCTGGAGAATCTGAGACAAGGTGCAGAGCTGGATGAACACAGCAGGCCAAGCAGCATCATAGGAGCAGAAAGGCTGACGTTTTGGGCCTAGACCCTTCATCAGAAATGGGGGAGGGGAAGGGGGTTCTGAAATAAATAGGGAGAGAGGGGGAGGTGGATAGAAGATGGATAGAGGAGAAGATAGGTGGAGAGGTACTACAGCCACATCACCTTTCTTAGTACCTGCCTACGGAACCAGATCATCCCCAATGGACTACAATCCACATTCAAGCCTTCCCAATTTGGCCCCAACTGTGACAATATCTACATTCACCCCCATCTCCTACCTACTAACCTCCTCCCGCCCCCTTGACCTGTCCGTCCTCCCTGGACTGACCTATCCCCTCCCTAACTCCCCACCTACACTCACCTTTACTGGCTCCATCCCCGCCTTTTCGACCTGTCTGTTTCCTCTCCACCTATCCTCTCGTCTATCCATCTTCTATCCGCCTCCCCCTCTCTCCCTATTTATTTCAGAACCCCCTTCCCCTCCCCCATTTCTGGTGAAGGGTCTAGGCCCGAAACGTCAGCCTTTCTGCTCCTATGATGCTGCTTGGCCTGCTGTGTTCATCCAGCCCTGCACCTTGTTGTCTCGGATTCTCCAGCATCTGCAGTTCCTACTATCTCCCTTTATTCCCTCATGTTTCTGTAAAGATGCCTCTGAAACATCACTATTGTGCTGTTTTCACCACCTCTTCCAGCAGCACATTCCAGGCACTTACCACCCTCTGTGTAAAAACTTGCCTCTCAAATCGCTTTTTAGCCTTCCCCCTTGTACCTTAAACCTATGTTGCCTAGTAATTGACATTTCTACCCTGGAAGACAGACAGTCAAAATTCATTTCACACACAACTTGTAAATTCAGAAGACGGTATTAACCCATTACTCTGAAATGTGTCACCAATCTTATTTTGTAAATGCTACTGGTTTGTTGCCACAGATAGCAAATTAGATAGGAACCATAGGTGGTAAGCCATCCCCAAATCTCATGACAAAGTTAAACAGATGATTAGAATCCAAACTAAGTCAAAACCCGTTACATTGGGTGTGAACATACACCAATGAACTACGGTGGTTAAAGGCGGCAGCTCACCACTGTCTCAAGAACATCTAGCGATGGGAAGTAAACGCTGAAGTAAACGAACAACACGAACATTCCATGAATGAACAAATACAAATGATTTACTGGTAGAAAGAATTCACCATTTGCAATGTTAAGGGACACTTTCAGTATTTGATCATTCTTTCAAGCAAGATGGCAATATTTTATACATCAGCTCTCATGTAAATTTCATCCAGCTCAACTCTCACACCAAGTTGTCTGCAGCTTTTCTGCTAAATTAAGTGTCCGCTGATTAAATGTCTATTTTTCTGGTTAGAGATCAGAAAATCAATATACATTTCTTTAGTAAACCTTTCATAGAAACGATCATATTCCCTAAATTTATGAAGTTTTTAAATAGTTTTTCAAATTAAGCCAAATAACCAGGAAAATAAAATGTAATTAGCATATCTATGGTTACTTATATTCTTTACAAACTGTAGCTCCACTATATTTTTGAATATTTTATATATTATGACTAACATTTGGGTTTCGACTGCTATGGACAGCATACTATACAAGTCTTTTGCAAGTATTTTATTAAATACTTAAATGATTTATTCATTTCAATGAGTACTTTTAGCTATGCACATCATGGATGCGAGGCAAAGGCAAGAAGTGAGGGAAAGCAATTTTCTTACTTCAGATGACTTTTGATCTCCTTTATTTCCACATTCATTCTGTTTTAGCTTGTTAAGAAACCAGTGATGTGCCATCAATTTACAATTGTAGAGAAGAGTTAGGATTAAATATTTATTTGTTCACACAGTGGACTTCTGCAGCATGAGAAACTTTGATAGAAGGAAAGACTGTTATATCTTCAT